ATCAGTCGTCGCCAATAAAGTATATAGGGGACGGGGGGCTGCAGAAAATTGGCTACAAATCAACTGCCAATGAGGGAGAAGGCGACTGTAAGAACATCACAGAGCGGGATCAGATAAATTTTTATTATGACTCATCCAAAATCCTCCCAACCTCACGTCCCCTCCCTCCCCAGACGATAATTACCGGTCCCCTGTGGGAGTATTTTTCTTTGCACTACTTTAATCATTGTGTTTATTGATGGCCGGAAGACATTTATAATTGTCAACGTTTTGAGACACCTAAACATTTCCGTTTGCGTGTTGCGTCGGCCGAACGTAAACATTTTTCGGTATATATTTTGTTTTGAGGACACTTGATTGATAAGGATTCTTTCGACTCGTCATACAGTTACAAATATCTTTCATGCTTCTATTCGGAAAACTTAAAACAAGATGATGGATCACTTTTAAGAACAAGCGACCGTGCCCACTGGCTTTATTTACCAAGTAATCTCTTTTCAAGCCTATCCGCTTAATCCCGAGTCACATATAAAACAGTCATCACTATGAAATAATCTGATTTGTGCGATGTGATATCCTTGACATTTGGGTAACCAAAAATAATTCTTTGTCCGTCCGGAGCAAGCAACTTGAGCAAAGTCTTTTATGCAACGAAAATATTTATTCAATATTATCTACAGAACATCGGGCATGATTTCAGAACGCCCTTATTTTTGTGACCCCGAAAACATTGATTAATGTATAAAAGTGATCGTTGTTCATAGTGGTTCGATTAGGGTTTTAACACACAAATTTATATTCCATTGACATATGCCAAGAATTAAAACAAGTAGGGTGGTACTTTAATTGCTTGAACTTCTTTCCATTGTTTTAGATGAAAACATCTCTTCAGTCATTCTCAATTAAGAGTTATATTTAACTGAATTCTTTTGAATTCTTGCACGTTTCTGAGAGATGCTCTTTGCTCTTAAGCTGTTGATCTTAGTTTGTTACCAGTTCTGTCGCAATAAAACGAAGTCTTGTCAGCGCCTGACAAAGAAATGGTCGGACACTGGGCGTTGTCAATGATGATCTGCTTTGTTCCCTTTCCAACCATTTTCGATTTGTAAAACCCTCCTATACTTTGTATCTTTAATATGTCTCAAACACGTGCTTGTAGATGGCTTGAAAGGCACTTGATCATTGATACATTTTGAACCAGCTTATAAAGGCGTGTGAAATATGTAATGAGTGGGTTTCGTGCAACACATGCATTCATGTTTATCACAGCCGGCCGGAAGTAATTGAGTACAAAAAAGATAATTCTTTTGTGAAAGCCTAGTATTTGCTATATCTGCGCTTTTAATCGATCAATTTACGTGCTAGCTGAAGGAAATGAAAAACCGGAGTAAATAATTGTCGTTACAGACTTAGTATAGGCACCACCAGTTAGAGATAAACTTATCCACCCAGGACCACCCATTACTTATTGAATTCTCTTCCAGAATTTTATTTTCTCTTCTATTTAATATCATGTGCTGAGTAATGTTCAAGCGATTGCCCGACATCCTGAAAATACGAAAAGGAATTTTCTTACAGTTGAAGGAAAGAACGAACAGAGGGATAGGTCTCACGTATGCTTGACGCACTAAGTTTCAAAGCTGACA